TCCTTGAGTATGTAAGTACCAAGTTTCATTGAAATGTAATGCTAACTACTTATATCAAATGCTGAAAATTAATTAATTATGCAAATTAGGTAATTAATATGTACTGATATTACCATAAAAACTATCAGGTCTGTGCAGTGTCGTATGACATCTATGTACCAAGTTTCATTTGAAATGTGATGATTAGTACTTGAGATATCAGTGGAAAAACCGAAAATTGACTAATCATTATGCAAATTAGGTAATTAGTATCCACGGATTATTACCAAAAACTAATCAAAACCTAGCATTAGTTCAGAGCATCTATGTACCAAGTTTCATCAAAATCCAATGAGTGGTTGTTTAGATATCAGTGGAACAGTCATGGAACCACTAAAAAATAGCTAATTATCATGTAAATTAGGTAATTAATATGCACGGATTTTTACCAAAAATTAATCAAATCTGCGCATATGTTCAGAGCATCTATGTACCAAGTTTCATCAAAATCCAATGAGTGGTTCTTTAGATATCAGTGGAACAGTCATAGAACAGCTAAAAATTAGCTAATTATCATGCAAATTAGGTAATTAACGAGCATGGATTTTTACCAAAACCTAATCAAATCTGCGCATTGGCCCAGAGCATCTATGCACCAAGTTTCATCAAAAACCGATGTATGGTTCTTGAGATAGCAGTGGAACAGTCGGACACACATACACACACACATACACACATACACACATACAGACACACTAACTGCAAAGACTCCCATTTTGTGCTTCGCACATGGGAGTCAAAAATCGTATGGAATTTGGATGAATATTAATTTGTGAATAACAAATCTTTTTTAATATGCTTAAATTAAATCCTGTTTGAAGTTTTTGACTCTTCGACTTTTAATTGAGTTGCGTTCAGTTACTATTGAAACATGTATTGACTACTATTCAAGTTTCAGCCACACATATGTTTTATATTGATTGAGTTCTTGCCGTTATATATATACATGTATTTATTATCAAGTTATTAGTATGTTACAAATACAGCATACGTATATTTTTTGTCATTTACTAATAACTTGCATGTTACAAGTATGGTTTTATTAATATATATATATACATTCACCATCTCTCTATGTTACAACAATCAGGTTTATATTATTTATTTATTTATAAAAGTAATATAAATATATAATTTAGCCGTACTTGCCACATACAACTCTATGACAGCCAAGCTAAAAAGCTAACAGATTGTATACCCCATTGTTTGGCACTAAAATTACATCACAAAAACACACCACTATACAGGCCTCTTGATTGCGATCAAAATGGTCGCCATACAAATTAAATTTAATCAATGATGATTAAAAAAAAATCCAGGTTGCCAATGACGTAATGTGACTGGAGACATAAAACAGATTATACAGCTTGTCAACCCTTGGTGGCACACTAATGACTAATATTAACACTTTGCACACATTTAATTACCAATCATATTTAATCCTTTTTACAAATTGATTTTGACATCACATCTGAATTTTAACATAATTAATGTTTTTGTGTAGCTTATTATTTATTCGCAAAACAATCAATTATAACCACTAAAGAAAAAGTTAAAATTTGAGGGCTGTTATGCAATTACGTTTTGAAATCTCTGTGTAGGCTTGTGTCAATAAGCTGCCAGCAAGGTCTGTCATGCATCACTAAAATTACATCACAAAAACACACCACTATACAGGCCTCTTGTGAACAGCAGCAAGGTCAGCAACAGCAGCAAGGTCAGCAAATCAACCAGGAAAATCAACTTGTTTATAAAAGTATTTCAACCTTGTGTTAACTACTCAAACTAGTAAGAGTTTCTAAATGTTAGATATGTACTTGTATATACTAGAATGAAAACATTACTACATGTAATACTATAAAACAAAGACACTGATGTCTTTGTTATAAACAACAAAAGGTCACTACTGTAGAGAGTGTCATTATTTGTTTTATATAACAAGGAAC